ACTTATATGCAAAACAGAAACAAACTCAGAGACACAGAGAACAGACTTGTAATTGCCAGAGGAGTGGCAGGAAGGGAGAGGGATGGACTGGGAGTCTGGAGTTGGTAGATGCAAACTCTTAACATTTAGAATGGATAAACAATAAGGTCCTAATATATAGCACAGAGAACTATACTCAGTATCCTGTGGTAAACCATAATGGAAAAGAATATTAAAAGAAAAAGTGTGTGTGTGTGTGTGTGTGTGTGTGTGTATAGCAGATATATATATATATATATCTGCTACTGTATAGCAGAGATGGGCACAACATTGTAAATCAACTACAATTTAAAATAATTTTCTTGATACAGACTTGCCAGCCATTAACTTATCCAAATCCTTGCTTCTGTTAATATGTTTGGGAATGACAGTTTCTGTGGAATAATTGTATTGTGACTGTTTAGTCTGTTAAATAACTAAAGGTCATATCCACTCCCCACCCCCCCGTTTTTACTCCCTCACATACACCCAACTTTCAATGTCCTGACTTTATGATTGAATCTGGGCTTCCCTGGTAGCTCAGCTGGTAAAGATCCCGCCTGCAATGCAGGAGACGCAGGTTCAGTTCCTGGGCTGGGAAGGTCCCCTGGAGGAGGGACAGGCTGCCCACTCCAGCATTCTTGGGCTTCCCTGGTGGCTCAGCTGGGAAAGAATCCACCTGCAATGCGGGAGACCTGGGTTCAATCCCTGGGTTGGGAAGAGCCCCTGGAGAAGGGCATAGCAGCCCACTCCAGTATTCCTGCCGGGAGAATCCCCATGGACAGAGGAGCCTGGTGGGCTTTATAGTTCATGGGGTCCCAGAGAGTCGGATACAACTGAACGACTAAGCACATGATTAAATTCAAATTAATTCTATTCAAGCCATTTAGTGAGTTTGTGCCTTCTGATCTTATCACTATAGCGTACTAAGTTTTAGTTTTTTCTTCTAGAAATGCCATTCTCTCATCTTTTATTTTTTTATTTGTTCGAATTCTACTTAGTTATTTTTTGACAAACACAAATTGGAACTGTATGTAGCAGTCTATCTTGGTTTTGTATCATCTTGTTTTATGATGACCAGAATTTTACTTGATTTTATTTGTGGCTGTATTAAACATACAACTTCTAGGACTAAATCTAGTTTCTTAGGATTTTGATAGATTTCATTTGTCTAAGTTTTAGCTTCCATCACACTTGCTAGAATTAAATCCCACTTGCTGTTTTCTACACATCAGAACAGAAAATGGGGAGGAAGGATAGTGAGCTGAGGGAGCACACAGGTGGTCCTGTACGCAGCTTGGGCAGAAAGGCTTCCCATGGGGAGTGAAATCTAGTCTGACCTGAAAAAGGAATGTTAGCCTGGTGAATGTAGGAGGGAGAATCAGGGAACAAAGATTTTCCAGACAGAGGTGCCTGCCCAGTATCAGAAAGAGCTCCTTGAGTTAATGAAAGTAGTTCACCCCAGATGGAGTTTAGGAATTCTTGGATTATGACGCTAAGCACTGGTATTCTTAAGGTTTTATTGCCTCGATTTCAAATGCCTTTCCTTGAAATCTCCATTAGGCTGGCTCCAAATCATCTAGGACTCAGCTCAAATGAATTCCACTTTTTCTAACCGTTTCTATGCTCTTAAGAGACGTTCACCGTAAACGCTTCAGTGTCCTCGTGACGCTTCTCTCGAAATCAGCTTATCAGGCTCTCTATAACAGGATGTAAACTCCATGAGTTTGATTATCTTGTTCACCACGATATCCTCAGCATGAAACACTGCCTTCAAGTTACTTACTGAATGCTTACTATGTACCAAACATTGTTTTCAATGCTTTCCATTACCAGTTAACAAAATGCAAAAACCCTAACCTTTGTGGCATTCTAGCTATATTTTACCAGGGGGAAGCACTAAAAATACAGTATATTTTATATTTTAAATTACGTTAGAAGTTGGCAAATGCTTCAGAGCACATAGAGTAGGTAAGTGGATTCTGGAGTCTTGGCCGGGGGGGGGGGGGGGGCATTGTGGTATTAAATAGGATTCCTTAAGAAGATGACCTTTGAGGAGTTGAAGTGGTGAGTTGCAGATATGTGACTAGAAGGAACAGCTAGTGCAGACTGTAAGGTAGGCGTGTGTCTTTGCCTGGCCTGCATGAAGCTGACTGGACAGAGTGGTGGAGGATAAGAGTAGCAGCTGAGGTCTGAAATTTTTGATTTTTATTCTAAAATGAGGAAGGAGTCATGGAACATCTTCAAGTAGAGGAGTGGATGTTTCTTTGCTGCTGTGTTTAGAACAAGCTATAGAGTCAAGTGTAATAGTTTGGAAATCAATCAGGAAGCTATCATGGAACTCCAGGCAAGAAAGGATGGACATAGACATTTGGCAGTCCTCAGCATGTAGATGTTATTAGAGCCATAGGAATGGATGTGATCACTAAGTGAATTTAGGTAGCTTGTGCTGATCCCTCCTTGGTGCTTTTTAATAAAGGCTGGAAAATCTTTTTAATAAAGGAAATCTTTAATAAAGGCTGGTAGTCAAATCAAGAAGTTGCTTTACATACTGAGGGAAGAAATTATTCCATTATGATCTGTCAAGTACCTGATGTTTTGCTTTGATAGAAACAACCCAATTCTTTTTTCAGAAGGTTATTAGCTTCTAAAAATAAATCCAAAAGGCTGAAGATTAAAGATAACTGGCAATACTGAATTCTTTGAATGAAGAGCAGTATTTTGTCCATCTTTGTATTTTCATGGTCTGACACACTGCTTGGCACATGAGAAGCAAGAAATGTTAATGAACATCCAAGAAACTGAAGATACCATAATGATAACACAAGACACAAAACAAAATTACAAAAGGAAATTTATTTCAAAAGCATAAGGGAACATTTACATTTGAACAAAGTGATAAACAGGTGTCTTGCAAAAGAAAAAAATCCATGGCATGAAGTTTTTCGTTCAAAATTTTTAAGCAAAATAACCTAGGTTGTGTGCTATTGCTTTAGGAAAGGGAAGGGGAATAATGAGGCGGTAAGGGAAGGAACACAGTCAACTTAATATCAAACTTTAGAAAGTAAAGTCACTTTTTAGCTCTGAGTTTACAAATATTAAAAAGAAAAAGAGGAAAAATTATACTTAATGTTCAAATTTATATAAATGTAGTCCCAAAACAGCTTCTGTACTTGAAATGGCTTTAGGCCACTGGCTGATCTGACTCTGAGGTCCAGACTACCTGGTCACAGTTATCAAATGGCAATTCCATGTTCCTATATCTGTTCAGATTCCAAGGAGCTTAAGTTCAGCTCATAGTCTTTTGGAATGTTTAGAGATTATTGCCACCTCTCCATAGTCAAGCTGACCAACTTCTTTTGCTCACTTGTATCATTCTAGTCTTCAAAACACATTTTCTCCAGAAATATGTGCAGTAATTGTAACAAAGGGTTTTTTTTGTCTATTCCCCCGATATAGAGGTAACAGCAATGAAGACACCTGCATTGTAATCACAAACTATTCCTCAAAAAAATAGGTAAAACTACTAGAAAATGTCACTCAGGCATTAGATTTGAATAACAAACCTGGGGAGGGAAGATTAATTGTGGAACAAAAATATATGAAACATTCAAATGCAGAGCAAAGGGCCTATGCTACTAAAAATGCCCATGACAATTAAACACTCCACAAACCCCCCATCTGTTGTTTTAACCTAAAGATTCTATTGACTAACTTATACAATAATTTTGATTAATAACCTGAGAAGTTAAAATCTTGAAAGTGGCAAAAGCAAACTGAGAGCATCCCTTACTTACTGGTGTATCATATTACCAAGTCACTTTTCCTGGGCTGCCCTGGTTATCAAATCCCCAAATTCTAAATTACTCTATTTCATCTTGCAGAAACCTGTATGTACATCAGATTCAGTATTTTGGCTGTATTTCTCCAACAGGGATCTCAAATTTACCTTTGAAAATGCAGCCTTTGTTTATTTTTAGTTTTAAATAACAATAATCATGTAAGTGCAACTGACTCAAAAGACCTCACTACTGGGAGGAAAACCTAAATAACAAGTTAACAATGGATTCAGCCTCAAGAGGATAATCACCGTGTCAAAGACTACCCGTTCCTGGAATTAAAAAAAAAAAAAAAAAGGACTTATGTTGTATAGTCAAGTTTCACAGCATGCATATATATATATACACACACACACACAGATATATGCTCATGTATGTATGTATATTATACATACACATTTCTATGCAAATAGTAAGATCCCATATTCAAAAGTTTATATCACAACATATGGAGAAGAGTTAAGTAAGCAGTGCAAAGCAACTTACTTCTTCCTAAAAATGTCATGTCATTTCTACATTTTAAGAAAGCTGATTAAGCATTTTTGTTTTTCTGACACGCAGGAATACTGTACCATTGCGTAGCAGCTTTATTAAATAAATGTTAAGTCTGACCATTACTCTTCTTCATATGTTGGCCTGGGGGAGACGGGGTAAGGGGTGGGGACAGGAAAATCAGGAACCTTTCAGCACTGATGATCTTTACCAGTTATCAGAAATGGACTGAATTTTATTACACTTTAGATCTGAATAGCTCTCAATAACAAATTATTAAGATGTTTAAAAGATTCACAATGTGAAGTCTGAATAATGATGATATTGCAAAAACAAGTCAAGATTGCAGACAAAGCATCCAAAAATATCGCTGTGGTTTTTAACCTTGGACACAACCATGGTTTGTTACAAAAGTAGATCATACATACAAAGGTATAAAGAACAGTAAGTTTTTAGCTGAAGGCAGCAGTCTTTTTAAAGGGACACCCCCGGTAATCCAATGAGTAGTAGAATTAAGTATATTAAGCTCAGGACAATGCTGAAGAATGTGACTTCTCATTCAGTAGAGTCTTCCCCGACTACGATTTCCTCGTGCTCCCCAACCTCGGCCACCTCTACTTCCCCTGAAGGCTCCTCTCTGCTCTACGAAAAAGCGAACAAGGGTTTAGGTCTTGTTCAGGACGTCATGGGACAGCACACACAGAAGAAATGTAACTAGAAGCTCTGAATGTAGCAGTAGGCTCTATAAAAACAGCATGGTATTCTGCGAGTACATCTGCAAGTTCAAATCTCTACATAAAACCAAGGCATCATATATGCCAAAGTGCATTATCTCAAGGTACCAAATATATTCATAGTATGTACTCAATTAAATGTATCCCATTAAAGATATTTCAAGGTGACAATGTTAACGATAACTACATTTAGTTCTTTATTTTGGTGCCTATCACAAAGATAACTAATGAAACTATAAATGTTTCTATATTTAATATGGATTAAAGCTATAGGCCTTCAAAAGTTAGTGTCATATATGTAAAATATCTTAAACTACCAGTGATCAATTCTGAAAAGTTAGGCTAGAATGAAAAATGTACCTTTCAAATGCAATGAAAAGGTAATCTGTTTGGGTCACCACATTGAAAAATAATGTTACCAATTCTGACAGCTTTTCTCACTGCTTTGTCAGCTATGTATGAGCTGCTCAGAGTGCTGCCAAAAAGGCTGTTTGTATATATTACAGTGTTTGGGTTACTGATGTAAATTAAGCATATCTCTTGCTGAAAAATCAGTCACTTGGATCATATGGTAGAATGAGTCCTTGATTTACTTGTCAGTCTGTTTTACAGGTCCAGAGAAATATCCTCAAAGGAATCTTTCCAGTGAAGAAAACTGACTGACGTTATCAGCAAGGCTGGACCTTTCATCGTACACAAGTGAGTAAGAGTCTCAAACTTCTAATTTCAGAGATCCAATCTCCTCATTGGAACCTTCAAACTTCCTCATTGCAGGAATCTTGTTAGGAGCAATAAAAAGAACCTGGTGTTGCCATTTTTGTTCCATAATGTTGGAGGCTTGAAAAATTCCTATCAGTACTGCAATCCATTTTTTGCCATTATTGCTAGAATTCTGTTACTATTTTTGGGTGATGCTTTATTTTTTTCCCTCCAGAAACTGAGTTAGAAAACTAACTAGACCTTTCCCTAGCTTAACCAACATTTACCTGTCAACAGAATGGAATCTGATTCAAAGTCACCTCTCATGTCATGATACATTTTTCTAAAATGATTGGTATGCCAACTATTTAAATGAAACCATCATGAGCTATCACACTCAAAAAATCACTTGAATGATCTTTTTAATGGTTTCAAGCTTAAACTAATACTGCTACTAGTTAAAATTATACTTTTAAAAATTATTTTAATATTCAAAAAAGGTAAAAGTTGAAGGATGCAAGTCACAAAATATAGAATTAGTACTTGTGGGTTACCAAGGAACTCTGTTCTACAGGAAGGAAAACTGAACATGGGTATGTGCAAATACTTTGATTGAAAATGCACCAGGAATCTGAACTAAGTTATGGGAACAAACACCTTTTGATAAAGCAAATAATAGAGACATTGGTTAGTAAAGTGAAAAACTTTGATAAGGAAAAAAGTCTAACTATGCCTACATGGACTCAAAGATGAATTACAAATTCTGGCTCCTTCTCTGCATAGAACTAGTTCAGGCCCATGACATTGGCACAATCTATTTTCTTTGCAGTAGACTTGTTCACTGTAGTAAGACAGTGATATAATAAAATTGAGTTTGGCTAACATAGAAAAGTAGAATTTCAATGATTAAATATGGGTAATAAAGTTTAAGTATTAAAGACTTAAAAAAACATTCTTCTCCCTCTGTCCTGAGGCAATACTGACATCCCAGGAAAAAAAATCCAACACTGTTTCTCTTTCCTCCTAACCCACTGTCAGTGCCCTAAGGAAAGGACATTAAAAAGGTAGAAAAATTTGAGATAGATAGGTCAACTAATTTTCATCTGTAATACTGAGAACTGTTTTCAACTGAATGGGTGAAAGAAATCCAAGAAAACTGTTCAAATTGTTTCTATGAAAATACTTATAACCTGACACATTTCAACTCCCCCAAATAAAAATACTAGCAGAAATTTTGTTCCTACTTTCCAATAAGAACAATCAGAATTTAGTTTGCTTTGTAATTCAATTTTATGACAAGCACTCCAATTACAAGGTTGTTCCTATAGGAATATTAAAGTACAGGAATACCAGACACAAAAGACAGTTAACAGGCATGTTTGTTGTTCTTGTTACTTTGCTGACTAAGGAACAACTAAAGTTGTAAATGACTCCTGGATTTTTTCCTTGGCCTTGCTGTGTGGCTTATGGGATCTTAGTTCCCTGACCAGGGACACTCAGTGTGAGGTCAAAGTCCTAACCACAGGATGACCAGGAAATTCCCTGATTTTTGTCTTCGGTAAAAGTGCTTCCCACCATGCACCCCCCCCCCCCCCCCGATAATTAAAAAAAAAATCACATACAACCTAAGGCTTTGCATTTTTCACATCTCTTTTCCACATGCATTACATCATCTGACTCTAAGGCAATGAATGTCACAGGGCAGAATACTCATGGAAATTCAGAGGAATTGATTTGCCTAAGTGAAAATAAATACAATTCTCTATGTATTGCCATAGTTAATTATATTCATCTAAATCGATGGTATCTGAGAGAACAGCTGTTGTTAAGAAAGGTTTTGATAAATACCACATTAAATCATACAAGTGACAGAGGACAGACGATATTTAGTGCAATGGAGTAATAGAATCTTTTCCATTTACAAAATGCTATCATAAATATTTTTTGAAGTTTTTAAGCTCTCTGCTATCCCTATTTTTCAGATAAGACAAGAAGCCAAGAGAGGCATGTTTACCTATTATTATATAAGTAAGAGTTCAGTGATCTTTTCTATACTAAAGTTGCCTCAAAGAGTTTGATTGGAGTTTAAGGGTTCATTTCACAATCTGAAATTGCCTTTTCATAGTCTTTTTGCTCAGATATTGGAGGAATTTTGCTATCATAGAAGGCATTTACTTAATGTCAAATCATCTCATCCTGGAAACAATTATAGGGAGTATATGCTTCAGAATGTACTTTTTTGGGGGATTCTCCAGAATTTTTTTGCAGAATTAATTCTGATTGGTAATCAAGACCAATCACAAGTATGTTTGGTTCTGGATATTAAACTTGTCTTCTTAAGCAAGATTAAGGATCCGAGTCAGTGATATTTATGTCCATTCTTCTTTATAAACCAATGAGACAGATTTCACTTCTGATTCAACAGCCCTGGGAGAGACTGGACTAGTGGAAAGTTGACAGGAGGACTGCACTCTGGGCAGTGGAGGAGACTTCACTAGATGATGCTTTAACATTGACTCTACCTTCCAGGACTTCTCCTTCTGAAGTCGTAACAGAAAACGGGAGGACAAACCACTGCAATGTTGTAAAGTAATTAGCCTCCAACTAATAAAAATAAATGGAAAAAAAAGAAAACGGGAGGACAAGCAATGATGACGAGGTCCAAGAAGGATCATTAATACCACACCTACCAGAGGCTATATCTGTTCCTGAGGGAGAATGGACAAAAGGTCTTGCTTTGAAGCTATAAACAGGGAAAATCAGGAATGGATGGTTCATGTCATCTTCCTTCCTTTTTTCTTTTCTGTTGGCATCTCTGAATACAACAGGCATATTTTTCAGGTTCTTAGTGTTACATGCTCAGCTCAGTGAACCCACAGGGTGAGGTAGAAAGGAACAGGATAAACTGTTTTCCCAGCAGTTCAAGTTCCCCAAGCTAACTCATAAAAAGTAACCTGAAAGAGTTAATCTTTCAATACTCTTCAATTATTAAAGTCAAGTACAACACAGTTTCTGCCTAATCTCTCATATTTCTTGTACCCAAACGGAAACGCTCACCATAATTAAAGTTGCTCAAATTGCTGCTGTATTTCCCACTAGGAGGATTATAAATCTGCCTGGCATCCCTTTTTGGTCCTGCTGAAGATTTCTTGGGAGGTGAACCTGAAGTTGTATCTTCACTGGTTCTCTTTTGCCTATAATGGTAGGAAGAACAGCAATGAAAAGAAATTCTTTTATATCAGAGGCTAGCAATATATTTATTATATTAGTTACAAAAGACATCCTAAAGATGATAGTCACATCAGAAAAAAGGAAATAACATCTTGACATCATCAAATTAACTCTGCTTCAGTTATGCAGACATTGTCAGAAGGGCATTTACAGGGCTTTAAAACAATCTGAAATACGTAGCTTCACAGATTATACTCAAGTGACTCATTTCATAGAACTTACCAGAAAAGTCTTCTTATGCAACAGCAATACAAACAATGGTTTGAAAATTCCAGAGTTGTATTCCACCAGTTTATTTTATAAATACTAGATTAGATTTTCTATTTAAGTCACACTTCTAATAGCTATATTCTAACATCTTATTAAGAATCATTTAATAATGTACCATTTTGTACAGGAAATATAATAATCTGAATTCAGACTTTTCATATTTATAAATCAAATATTAGAATACTTTAATCCCTTTTAAATATGTTCCTTACCCAAGCTCAACCTTCTGTACAGGCTTCCAGGATAATGTTACTGTGCTCTTATAAGAAGGAGGAATATGGAAGAGATCCTGAAGAAACAAAATTAGAGATTTCTAATGTATTTGGTGGTATGGGAAGTGGTAGTAAAGATAGGAAACAGGAAGACCATATCTTTAATCTTAGAAAAGAAAAGTAACTTATCCCATTTGCTTTTGTGCTAGTGACTAAAATAATAACCTAGGGAAAAAACTGCAAGAGAAAAGTAAACAAGGACAATTTTGTTTACAAATGACATATATTACCTAATGTTATGTGCACATCACTTAAGAAACTGAAGCTAATTTTTTTCAAATGTCATTTCAGGTTACAGGACAAAATATCAATCAACTTCAGTCAAATCTCCAAGTGGTTTCTTTTGCACAGATGCAGTCACTAATGTGCTTTAAGGTAAATATAATGGTGCAATCTGTATTTGCTATTGCAAATTTTTAAGTGGTTCAATACCAGAACAAAACAGTCTGGGTAATCATGTTTTTCTTCCCTCAAATACCTATATATTACCAATAATGAAAAAACCCACATTAAATTTTAATACTGAAATAATTCAGAAGTGAAATAATCTAACCCTCAGTATACCCTCACAACTATGATGAATTTATATCTATCATTTTACCCTAATTTTTATATTTAGGTAAAATTTGATAAAAGTAAACTGAGTTTCTTTCACAGTTAGTATTTGCTTAAAGTATTCTAAACATACTGTATCTTCAACTTTGATTTATGGTATCAGTTCAAATAAAGTAAAATCTCACATTTTAATGTATTAATTCACCATTTCAAACTATGGTTTATATTTAAGATTTGAAATAAATGGTGCCTATTACAAAAATTTTCTGCGAGGTGTGAGTCAGTTTTCTTCCCTCTTAGTGCCCTTTCCCTTTTGGCACTGATAATTCATCCCTCAATGTCTCACTGTTTCTCTGAAAAGCTTCCCTTTCTCTTCTGATAAAAAGTTAAGTATAAATGGGATTTTTGCCAGCCTGCTTTAAGACACACCACTCGCCTGCTTTTGTCACTGTCAGGCTCTGTGCTGTGAGTGTGACAGACATTTCTCTCTCCCCCTGGCTACAGTGCTATTGACTTGTGACAGTACCGTTAACTTACGATGTCAAATGATGGGTTGCTGTGATTCCTCCTTCGTTCTTTCAGGTTATTAGTTTTTGTTTAGGCTAACAGATACTTGAGGAGGGTAAACAGAACTGAAGCATGTTTATGGCTTAATGGTAAGGTACACTTTAGCCTACAGTATAGAAAACTCAATTTATTACACAGACAAATTAACAGAAAAGAGCACGGGGCAACACGTCATGTATCACATAAGACTGTCCATTCTTAGTGTAAGTGAAGCAGGGTATCATTGGTCATTCAAAAGGAACCAATAGCGTTAAAACTACAAGAACTTAAGACAGTGAAATTTCTGAGTATAATGTATCTGCTCCAATGCTGTTGGTCAGAACTGTGCATGCCTCCCTTTGTTTGGTGTATCTTCTGCAGTAACGTTTAAATAAATAAAACAATGAATTATAATAGCTACAAAAATGTTACTTGGTATTATAAAAGGCATAAAGCTTTAAAAGGCCAATGTATGGAACGTAATGGCATTTCTCCTGCACTAGACTACTACAGACACATATCCCTTGCACTAACTTTCTAGCTAGTTGGGATGGCTGAGTAAGAAAGGAAGACTTACCTTGATTAAAACATTAATATTATTTGTTATTTTCAATGCAACGACTTTAATCTTGTTCTGTAAAAGGAAAACAACATTAAATTAAAATGCCAGTAACTTTTATGATATATTACTTTCCCATATAAAACGTGACTTCCACTTTTTTCAGAATCATTTCTACAGTTAGGAAATTCATTGGCTTATATCTACAGATAATGCTTATTCTTATTTCTTGATTATTAACAAATGTAGAGATGGCAAAGACAGCAAATAATCTTTATCTTCCCTCAACAGGCTAGAACATTAAACTGTTAACTACAATTCACTTGAAAAACAAGTAAGGGATAGGTCATTGGCACATATCAGTTGTTTTAAAAGAAATCAGTTTATGTTACAGACAGACACAATGAAACTTAAAATATTTAATTAGGACTAAAATGAAATAGGATGAAGACTGATCAAAATAGATGAGATCAGGGAAAACCAAAGATCCCAACATAAACACAAGGTATAGTTTGGTACAGAATTGGTAGTTTAATACATTTAGTTTTAATGTAAACTATATGGGTTTCAAATTTTAAAGTCACAATTGCTAATCAAATATTTAAACAAAATGTGCTGCAAATGAGACCCCAGTGAAAGATCATTATGTATCAGAGTTTGGTAACAAACACTGTTCACAAACATTGGAAACATTCAAGACATTTCAACAATGGTAGAAGTTTCCTATATAACTTAGCATATAGCTAAATATGCAGTCTTCTAACACTGTATCTTCAACTTTTAGACTTAAATCATCAGTTCAAATAAAGTCGAATGCTACATTTCAATATATGAATTCAGTCTGAATGGTGGCTATTATACAAATTTCCTAATGAGATATAACCCATTATTCTTACCTCATCTGTCTTTAAAGCCTCGCCTGTTTTACCTTGGAGAGCCAAGCGAAGTTGTCTGATATAAACCTGCAGGCCCCGTGCAAAGTACTGCAGCCTAAATGAAGAAGTATTTATTAATTAACAAATCATCACTTCAACTGTTTTTAAATTCATAGGAAACTACATCCTTTACCAATAAAGAGTAAATTTTGAGGGGGACTTTCTTTTAATTATCAATGTATGATCATGAGATATACACAAATAAGTAAAATAAAAGCAGTTTTTCTTTGTCAAAAATTGGAAGAGATCCACACTCAACCTGGCAATGGAAACACTTCTAGAACTGGGTTAAGGAAGCTTGTTACATTAAACTGCAAGGTTAACCTAAGTTAGAAACAACCGGGAACCATGGGTTAGAATCAGGTGGCCTGGATTCTTCTCTTCCACTAGTCAAATGAAGCTCAAGTGACAGACACAAGTCACTTAATCTCTCTGTATTTATCTGCTAACAAGGGACTGTTTCTGACACATTTGCACCTTAGGGTCCAGTTTAAAAATAAAACAAAATTGTAAATTTTGCAAAGGATGTTGAGTAATCTTTTTTTCAAGTTTGTTTCCAGGCAGTATGTGTGGAAAAGTGCTACCATAACTCCAGCCTGACGCCTTCTAGGAATTCTGCTTAACAATGTGGCATCGTTGTTTTTTTTTTTCACTTTCAGAGTAATTTCCTAAGATGTTTGCTCTGGTCAAATGTTTCACCAAGTAATAAACCTCTGCCTTACCAAAGCATAGAGGACAGTAACAGTAGCTTAAGATGAGAATTTGTTAGCTCAATGATTTAATACAAAGTATCTTCCTGATACTTTGCTGCTCCTCCAGCCACAGCATCTTATTAAGATAATAAAAACCCTATAAGAGATTAAGAGCAGCTATAGTTTACCAAATACCCAGTATATATGCCAGGCATTGTGCGTAAGGCTTTTCATTACTGTCATTCAATTCTCTCAACTCCATAAGGTAGGTGCTAGTATCTATAAATTGAACAGCTGAGGACAATTTGAGGTGTCAGGTCAGAGAATCCACCCAATATCCTAAAGCAAGTGAGAGCCAGAGTCCATTTTTGTAAAAAGCCATCTTCTGCCAAGCGTTTGTCATGCCACCACAGTTGTATCTTTGTATACATTCCTGTTTTGTGGATCTTGCATTCTTTTGCATTGTAGTAAGAAAGGGTGGGGGAAAAGCTCTTGCAAAATGAAAACAAAATCAAGGCAGCTTCAAGATAGCTTTCACCTTTATCAAGGACTGGGGCACTTTAATTATATATCACCTGATTTTGAAATCTTTGAGCTTTTCTGCATTCAGCTTGGCTGTTAAGAAATCTGGAAGTTTTCGGCCCAACTGGTGAAAGCTATACAACAAACATTCCACATAACTGAACTGTAGCTTGGGTTCTTCATTACCAGCATTCTCCCCGTTTTCTGCTTCTTCTGGAGGGAGAGGCATGTACTCCTGAGAGATGAAAATACAAGAGATAAATGAGATCTGCTCTAGACACTCTAATTATAAAACATATACTCAAGTAATTATAAGACACACTTCTAAGATATGAAACATTAAAAACTACCAAGATCAGAAATTTATGTAAGATATCCCTTTTACATTTTGGATCAATGACCCAACCTGTCAACATTCCATATTAACCTACAGTATAGCTGCTGCTGCTACTACTGACAACAAAAGGAGCCAACCCAGCACTAGGCAGATGAAGGAAATGAAGTTCTGAGCACTTAGGTAGAAAACAAGCTGAAGAGTCAGGATTCAATCTAGGTTTGGCAACAAAAGCTGATGCTCCTAAAACAGTATTCTTAAAAAAAAAAAAAAGTATTCCTAAAAACAGTTTCTTAAAAAACTGAAAAAAGAGTTACCATATGATCCAGCAATTCTACTCCTGGGCAAATATCCAGAGAAAACTAATTCAGAAAGATATATGCACCCCAATGTTCATAGCACTATTTACAATAGCCAAGATATGGAAGCAACCTAATGTCCAAACAGGTAAACAGATAAGATGTGCATCTATGTGTACATACACAGAGCAGTACTACTCAGCCATAAAAATTAGTGAAATAGTGCCATTTGCAGCAACAGGGATGATTATTATAGAGATTATTATACTAAGCAAAGTCTGTCAGATAGAGAAAAACAAGGAAGAATATAAGATATATGTCTCTTATGAAATTCCTAGAAGAAAACATAGGAATAATGCTCCTTGATGTGGGTCATGGAAATAATGATTTTTGGATATGACACCTAAATTGTAAGCCACAAAATAAAAAAAATTATGACTTAATGACTTTACTTCTAGGTTGTTAAAGCTATTTGGCCCTGGGCAGTAACCGCGACGGTGCTCTGGAGCAAACATTTACAATATTTTGATGAATAAATAGCAGAAAAACTTACTATATAAATCTTGTATTATATTTTGTCTAGCATCAACAGAAGAAATGCCAAAGATTAAAACAGATTTGTTTTTAAAAAGTAGACAACATGTGGCCTGAGCAGCTAAGAACACTCGTTAGGATTATTACCTGTCACTTCAAAATCTGGCTCTCCATAATCTGTAAATACTATACTACTAAACTTTGGGATGCTATACTGACTATGCCATAAGGAAAGAAAAAAATTCTTACCAATAACTTATCAAATAGTTTCCTTAAATTTGTTTCTAGCTTTTCCATGTCACCACAAAATGAACTCATTTCGGCCAAGAGTTTTAATACCTACAACACACAATTTACTGTTATTAGCATTTTCTTTGAATGAGCAAGGGTTGTAAAATA